GTTCTGTGTCCCTTGGGAGGTCGGACGTGATGGCTGTACCGGTCCCTTCTGGGTGGGGGGTCTAGGAATCGCCAGAGCGCTGCAGACTCTGGTTGGATTGATTGGGAGGCAGGCCAGGGCTAGTCGCCCCCTTCCAGAGATGAGGAAACTGAGGCACAGGCAGGCAAAGGGACCTGCCTTAGGCCACAGAGGGAATTCAACGCAGCTCTCCTGACTGCCAGGCTGACGCTCTCACCACTAGACTGTGCTTCCTACCCCCTGGTGCAGGCCACCAGCACGGAGCAACCTGCAGACAAATCCCGTCTGTGCCCAGACCTTGAGCTCATGGAAACCAGCATCACTCCAATGGAGCGATGGCCCATTGACCCCAGCTGGGAGTCTGGCCCCATTGACTCCAATGGAGCCACGGCCGATGGACATCCCTGGGGATCCAGCCCCACTGACCCCAGCCAGAATTCCTGGGTTCTAGGGCCAGGAGAGATCTCCGTGCTCAGCTGGTCCGACCCGTGCAGCCGAGCCCGGGGGATTTACCAGCATTAAATCACTGTTGAATTAGAACCGATCTTTATTTCTCCTCCACTTCTCCAGCAGTGCCCCTCGAGGAAATATGACCCCAGCAGGGCTCAGCTCCTGCCCCTCTGGCTGGCCTGCTTGCTTGCCTATCTGCCTTTTCTTATGGATTTCCTCGGGATTGATTGTTTGTTTTACTGTACTAGGTTTCTAGGTTTATATCAGAATATTTTTGGCTGTCACGCGAGGGACCTCCAGGCCACATCCCGGATGCTGAGCTAAGGCACAGGTAGCGAACACCTGTTCCGGACCTTTCACCTAGCTGGCTGATAACTAAAGCATTTGCTCCATATATGGTGGTGACCTTGAACACAGATAAGTGAGGATGCGTTGAAGCAAGTTAGTATGGGGGCGGACCTACATTCAGATGCTCTTTAAACTTAACAGGCACATGGCAAAGAACATGGGAAGAACCGGTTAGGCCAGAAATAGCAGAGGTGAGAATGAGCTAATGGCATTAGTAGGTCAGTACATGGCACTAATACGTACAAACATGCCAGCCTAAGGAGTGAGCGTACCCTGCTATTTTGTGGTCTATAGGTTTCTGCAGCTTTTTAGCTCTTTAGTTTCTCCCGAGCCCTGCACCTCCCACTCAGCGCTCTCTGGGCATGTCAGGGGCTGGTCCTTTGTCTCTTACCACTTGGTTCTCGAGGAAGGGTGTGAGTATATCAGTGTAAAAGCTTTAGAGTATATAATCCCCCGTGTATCTTTAGAACAATAGTATTGCCTTTCTAACCCTACTTATTCCATTTGATTGTTATTCCATTTATCACAATAAAAGTCTCGAAGAGTCTCCATTTTTGTTTTCAGTGGGAGTTTCCTTGTCCTTGCAAACTCTATGTAGCCTGAGCCTGGGACAAGAACCTTATTATCTTCTGAGCAGATTAATCGGTGAGCCTATAACCCATATTATCCAAATTAATACTATTAACCTCCTAAAGCAGGCAACAGAGGTTAGCGCAGTTCTCAGCCTTTCCCAGCTGGCAGAGGCCAGTCCCCTCACTAGGGACACCCACACGGGCTGTGAGGGTATGGGGCACTCCTGGGGCTGTATTTGTGGGCCTGGGCACTGCATAGGTCCCTTCATCTGTACGGCTCTGTAATGGGAATTTGGACCTTAGTGGAACCCAGAGTCAGGGAGAGAACCCAGGAGTCCTGGCTCCCAGCCCTAACCACTAGCCCCCACTCCCCTCCCAGAGCTGGGGATAGAACCCAGGAGTCCTGGCTCCCAGCCCCCCCTGCTCTAACCTACTAGACCCCACTCCCCTCCTAGGGCCAGGGATCGAACCCAGGACCGGCCTGGCGGTGACTGGAGGTTTGGGTCTCAGTCCAGCCGGCTGGGCTGCGGAGCAGGGGTCCATGTGAGGAATGGGGAAGAAATGGGCACAGAATCATAGACATGTGGGGCTGGAGGGACCTCGCGAGGTGCCCACGTCCAGCCCCCGGCGCTGAGGCAGGGCCAAGTGAGCCCAGACCAGGCCTGACGGGGGTTTGTCCAACCTGGAGCTAAAACCCTCGAGTGCCGGGATCCCACAGCCCCGGGGAGCCGATCCCAGAGCTGAGCTGCCCTTGGAGTTAGAGAGTTTCCTGCCTCCGACCTCCACCTCCCCTGCGGCACCTGAGCCGGCTCCTGCTGCTTCTTCCGCCGTGGCCTGGAGACAATCGCTCCCCGGCCGCGGTATAAAAACCTCTCACACATTCGAGGGCTGTTGTGAGGTGCCCCCCACTCCCTTGTTCCCGACTGAGCATGCCCAGTTCCTTTAATCTTTCCTCCTGGGGCAGGTTTCTGAACCTCGGAGCACTTTTGTTGCCTGTCTGGGCTCCCTCCAGTTTGTCTGCATCTCTCCCAGAGCGCGGTGCCCCGAACCAGGCCAGGGCTCCAGCCGGGCCTCAGCAGCGCCAAGCAGGGCGGGACAACAGCCTCACGGGTCGAACCGATGACACGCCTCTTAATACAGCCCACAAAGGCATTGGCCTGGTTCGCAACAGCCTTCGGTGTTGACAGAAGCAGCCTTCCTTGCATGGAGCAGGGCCAATTTCGATCAACGAGGTTGAAAATAATCCCTTTACAGAGGGTTTTATTTCGAGGGCTTGGGGGGGACTTTGTGCCGGCCCCTCTCCACGGGAGGGGTGGGTTTCACACGCAGGTTCTGGAGAGTGTTTAGGAGTTTCTGGCTGCTCTCTGGGTGCTGAGAGGTCCACGGCTGTTGTGGCTGGTAAAATCTAGAGGTAGGTGCTGAGCTACTGCAGGGATGGGCAGGGTGTAAAACCGAGAGAGAGAGAGAGAGAGAGAGATTGCCTGGTATCCCACCTGTCACACCAGTATCCCACTCCTGACACCAGTGTCACCCTCTCTGCTGAGTGGTACAAAAACGTATGACCTTGAAAGCCAGTTTCCCATCGTTCTCCGCCAGCTCCGGTTGTTAGTGACTGTGAGGGCAGCTGTATTTTTCACTTTCCATTTCCTGGGCACATGGATTTTCCCCCCAGTTGCTGAGCAAGGGTCATGTCAATACAAAGGACCATAAATGAGATAAGGGCGGAGTGGAAGCTTTATCCCCTGACTCCCAGTAACCAGGCAGTTTCCTCTTACTTGGCTTTGGCCTCAAGCCAGGAATGTTTCGTGTAAATATGACACTTGCCCTGAGCTCCTGTGTAATGCTGCTCCGCAGGTGACAATCGGCTCCCAGGCCTCACCCCCTCGTGACGCTGGTTGAAGCTGGCTCTGCACTCTGCTCCCCCAGCCCCCGACCAGTGCAGCTGCCCTGGGGCTAAGCCCCAAAGTAAATGTTCTGCATCGATTCCAGCCCCATTTCACAATAGTGGAGTCATCTGCACTGCAGGTCGGCATGGTGCCAAATCAAACCTGCAGGCAGACAGGGTCTGTGCTGCCCCACCCGAGAAGTGGCTGCATCTCAGCTCCAGCTAAAAGGATCCCTGTATAAACAGCCCCCGTGCCCCACCCCAGAGACAGCTGCATCTCAGCGCTGGGTGACCAGCAGTGTGGACGTTGCAGGGGAGACCCCGCAGGGTCCCAGAGCTCAGGCTTCAGCACAGGTGCAAAATAAAACCTACGTTCTTCATTCCCAGAACCTCATGTAGGTTCCCAGGGTGTGTATATACACAGAGCCGAGCAAATTCTTCTGTGGCTAATGCATCTGCCAGCGCCCCAGTCTCATGCGGACGGGCTCAGCCAGAGGTTCCCGAGTTCCTGGGGAGTGTTCGACCCCCACTCTGCCCCTGGACCCACCCACCCCACTCCACCCCTTCTTGCCCCGCCCCTTCCTGCCACCGCTTCTCCCCCTTCCCCCAGCACCTCCTGCACTCCACTGAACAGCTGATCACTGGCAGGTGGGAGGGCTGGGGAGGAGGGGGAGGAGCTGATCTGCGGAGCTGCTGGTGGGTACTTAGCCCCAGAGCACCCATGGAGTCGACGCCTAGAGGCTTAGAAACAGGACACTTGAAACTAATAACACACCGGGGGCTTTTATTTTGGATCCTGATTTATTCGGTGAATTTGCTAATGCAGAGAGATTCCAGCCAGCCGCGAGGTACCGGGACAGACACACACCCATACTCTGGGCAGACCCTTGGCTATGCAGTGGCCCCTTTGCATCGCCCCGGCAGCGCGGAGGGGCCAAGGAGGGGGGGCAGTTGGGACTTCAGGCCTTTATTCTGTCACCCATCGAGCCAGCTTTAACATTTATTTCATTCAGCAGTAACGCAAGAAACCCCCAGGCCTGTCTCCCACAAGACGCTGGCTGCAGCAGGTAGCATAAGGCTTGGGGAAAATTTGGCACAGATAAATGGCCCAACGGTCATTTTGGGGGACTGGGACCAGAGTGGTTAAACGGGCGGTTTGTCCGTAACAACACCAGCCAGCCACAGGGACGTGAGCTAACACCGGCTTTGGGATATTGTAGGAACTTCTGCAGATGTCTGACCACAAGCCGGCCACGGCAAGGAATTGACGTGTCTGATAATAAGTTGAGATCAGTAACATCCTAACCTATAGGAGAAGGTACCCCAACATCGGTAGGATAAGGAGACACAGATAAGGAGGAGGGGAGAAGCCCCTACTGAATAGGCATTAGGCACAGTGGCAACAGTTTAACATATTATAAAAGTTGTACCCCAGCATGTGGGCAGGAGGCAAGCGAGATGTAGCGTTTGGGGGTGCCCAGATGATGGCCCTGGGTGATGATGAGGAAGATGATGGTGAGAAGGAAGACACTGGCTAACGTTTCCGGTTGTTCCGCAAGGGGCGGTGTGTGGGGATGGGAAGATGGACATTCTGCGGTATCGCTGTCCCCCAGGTTGGGCTGGAGCATTTGGGACTCTGCTAAATGTGCTGATAAAGGATTAGAAACACAGACGGTTCCTCCAGTACGAGGGCTGCGACGGGCCCCATCGGGGTCCCCAACTGAACAGCAATTTTAATAACACTGGGACGGATCTAGGGACCAGAACCTGTCAGACCTCCCAGTGATCACTGGGACTTCGTGAGCAATCAATAGAATTAACGTAGGATTCATAGCTCGGGGCTGCAACGCGCAGGAATCAGGTGCTGCGTGGCCCGTGCCGGGCGGGGTCAGGAGAGCAGCTTCACCAGCAGCAGCCCAGTCAGGCCAGGCAGGTAGAGGGCAAAGGAGAATTTCCCCAGAGCCGGGCTGGCCCCACTGGTGGTGGCAGGGGTTGTTTTGGTGGTGGTGGTGGTTGTTTTGGTGGTGGTGGTGGTGGTGGGTGGTTTGGTGGTGGGGGTTATCTTCTCTGCAGGTTTGGAGGTCGCCTTTGTGAACGTGTACGTGTAGACTGCAGAAACCAGGGAGGTTCCAGCTTTAATCTCTTTTGTGGACGCAGAACCGCAGCCTTTTGCAGCAAATGTTGATGATATCTCTGAACCTGGTGGAAAAAATCAACCTGTTATTAGGCGGGGTCAGCTCTGGTTCCTTCTCTGTTCTCACTGTGGGCTTTGAATGCTGAGAGGGGAGTGTGGCTAGGATGGTCTGCGCTGGGGGATGGGAGATTGGCCTTGAGGGAGGATACCTTAATATGTAACATGAGAACCCAGGAAGGGGGTTGGAGGCCAAGTGACACCTCTGCCTGGGAAACTGGACAAAGGCTGGGGGAGGAGCCGGGGGGGAGGCTGAGTGAGACGGCTGGAGGGAGTTTTGGTTTTGGAGCTGGCTGGTGATATGGCTGGGAGGCAGACGGGCTCTGACCTCCCAAGGGGGCTGGGGCGCCCTGGGACCCCAAGATGGACCTAACTGAGGGGGGTCCTGTTGTCTGTGCCTGCAAGACCGGTCTTGGACTGTGTTCCTGTCGTCTAAATAAACCTTCTGCTTTACTGGCTGGCTGAGAGTCATGGTGAATCGCAGGAAGCCGGGGGTGCAGGGCCTTGTCTCCCCCACACTTTGTGACACCACCATCCAGCAGTTCCCACCTCTGCCTCCCATTCCCACCCGCCCGGTGCTCTCCCTGCTCTCGCTGTAACCGGCCACGGCAGGGCGGGCGTCTGGTCCCCTCTCGTCTCCCCCGCGTCCCTTTCTGCAGCTCCACAAGACACTGAAGCTGGAGTTTGGAACCAGCTGATCGCCAGGGGCGGCTCCTTCCCCAGCGCGCGGCTCCCCCGGGGAACACGCCCGGCTCTCACCGTCCCCGGCAGCCCCAACCGCTCGGTTCAGTTATTGTATAAACACCCCAAAGCGCTGGGAGTCCTGGCCACACACTGAGAACAGGAGCTTCCGCACTGAGCAATAGCTTAGCTCCACCTTAAACATAAAGGAGGTGGGGTCTAGTGGTTAGAGCAGTGGGGCTGGGAGCCAGGACTCCTGGGTTCTATCCCCAGCTCTGCATCATCGACATAACAACCCTTCCCAATGCAAGAGAGTGCACTGTCATCACTGAAGGAGGGGGAGCTAGTCTGTAAGAGAAAACGTCGCATTTCCTCTCTCCTTCCCTCCGGCTGATCTGGGCCCCCATCTGCCCAAGGACTCAGCACAGCCTGGAGGTCTGGTAGGCTCTAGGGGCTTGTCTACATTACATTATAAGTGATATCACACAGGGATGTGAAAAAGCCCCCTCCTCCACCCCCGAGCAGCATAAGTGACACCAACCTAAGCGCCGGGGGCAGAGGAGCGTTTCCCACTGACGTACCTACTGCTGCTCACGGGGGTGGTTTTATTAGGCAAAAAGCATCTTCACCGGATGCATTACAATGGTGCCGCTGTAGCGCTTCTAGTGTAGACTGGCCCTAGGTTTCACCAGCTCTCTGGGGAGTTCTTGAGCCATGAGATTCCCGGGGCAGCTCCCGCACTGCGGCCAGCTGCCAGAACTTACCTTTCGTTAGGGTCCCAGCGAAATCGACGCAATAGTCCTCATTCCCTGTACAAGGGATGGTTTGGGTGTTGCAGGGATCGCCGTTCAGAGCAAAGCAGGTTGGGCACTGCACCTCTTTTGCGGTAGAGTCCACCGTGGGCACTGGGAACCGAGAGAGACACAGGTTATTGGGTGGGTTAAACCTAGTTCAAACAGCGGGGTGTGCCCACTGCCCTGCATTGCCCGAGCACGCAAAGGCTCCACCCCCAGCCCAGTGGCATTGCTCCGTCTGTCTGTCACACGCCAACCTTTGAACCCCGCAGCTGAGCTGATCAGTTCCAGAATTTCCAGGCATTTTCTAGGCTCCCAGGGCCAGAACCCTGCTGTCTTTGGGAGAAATCAGAAACACACACACACACACCCAGCCACCTCTGTGATTGTCTGCAGGCCAAACATCGGGTCGATGGCCCCACTGACACCCCCATCTCCACTCTGCCCAGCGTCCCCGGGGGTGTAACACGGTGACACCCGCAATGATCGATCTCCCAGACAGAAAGGAGGATGGTGGGGGAGGGGGAATGGGGATGAAGGCAGCATATACACAGACCTGGCATGTGTGGGGGCGGGGATGGGGGAAGAGGGGCTTGGGGGAGAGGCACTGAATCCTTGGCAAGGTGGGGGAGGTTGCCATAAAAAATTATCTCTAATGCATTCCAAGAACTTGCTGGATGATCTGTGCCCGGCTGTGTTATTTTCCCAACTGATCTCTGGGTGGTTGAAATCCCCCATCACTACCACGTCCTGGGCTTTGGATAATTTTGTGAGTTGTTTAAAAAAAGCCTCATCCACCTCTTCTTCCTGGTTAGCTGGTCTGGAGCCGACCCTACCATGACGCCCCCCTTGGTTTTCCCCCTTTTATCCCTACCCGGAGATTTTCCACAGGTCCATCTACTATTCCCGTCTCAGCCTCAGATCAGGTGCAGTCACCTTTGCTATCCAAGGCAACCCCTCCTCCTGCTATCCCTGCCCGTCCACCCGGAGCAAGCTGTGCCCCTGGGTGCCGATATCCCAGCTGTGTGTGTTCTCCCCCCACGGCTCTGTGACACCGACTATGTCACAGTTGTGATCACTCACTGCTTCAAATGCTGAAAGCGACAAGAAATCACATTGTTTTGGGAAATGGCCAAACAGGCGGTTTTGAATTTTTCGCACAAGGACCCACAGGGAAAAACTGGCCGGCAATGAACAGCCCTGGGGCTCTGAACCAGGTTTCCAGCCATCAGACGAGGGAGGTCTTGGAGCAGCTTCCCACGGGAAGGGCGGGGACAAATCCCCCAGCGAGTTTGAAGGTGGAGCCTGATAGGTTCAGGGAGGTTTAGATTTGAGACCATCCTGGCTGCTGTCCCCTCTCTCACGTGCAGCCCTCACCCGTCTGATTTCACATGGGCCCGACTGTTCCACCCCCTGGTTTGGAGACCCGCCAGCGACAGGCATTTCAATGGCGACAGAAATGACATTCGAGTGAATGGACGTTGGGGGCAGTAAAGGGGAGAAATGGGAACAAATACAGTTGTGCCAAGGGCTTGTCCACATGAACCATTCGACTGTAGCAAGGGGGGGCCGGGGTGTAAGGATCCGCCAGGTTGTGAATCGACCCTGCACCAGCCTGCCACGGCCTAGCTGGCCACGTGCACCCTGCTGACGTGCGTGAACCATTCGTTAATGTGCTTTGAGCTAGTCCCCTCCCAAAGCACCCGAACGGTCACGTGCTTCGGCAGGGGGCACACGGAGAGCTGGATTCACACTCCACCTGAGGGCCATCTAAGTGTTTGGGTGAACAAGCCATGAAACAGGGACAGTAAAAACAGACCCACAACGTACCTGCCAGTACAGCCGAGTTACAGTTATCTGTGCTGCATTGTTTGATGTTGATCCGCAGATACTTGCCATTCCCAAGAGTGACAGTGACGGGGTCTTTTATGACACCACTGAAGTCATTCATACAGTCTCTGGAGAAGCCCGTGGCCTTTGTCCCACCTGTTGTAACTAAAAAAACAGAGAACAGAACTGAGAGGCCGGGAGGGGAACCTCGAGGAGCAGCAGGGTGGTTATTGTTTTAACTCCATGTCTGGCCCTGGGGCGATACTGCTGGGACCCTCTGTCCCACCATTCCAGAAAGAGGTTGCACAATTGGGGAGGGGTCAGAGAAGAGCCGTGGGGACGATTAAAGGGTTATTAAACCTGCCTTAGCGCGAGAGACGCCAGGAGCTCGATCCATGGAGCTGAACACAGAGACGGCTCAGGGGTGACGTGATCCCCGTCTGCCAGAACCTACCCGGGGAACAAACATTTACTGACGGGCTCCTCAGTCGGCCGGCGGACGGTCGGACGCCATCCAGTGGCTGGGACCTGGAGCCGGACAGACTCAGACTGGGAATAAGGGGAACGTTTTTCACAGGGAGGGTCATTAACCACTGGGACAATCTCCCAGGGGCCGTGGTGGATTCTCCATCAGGGACAATGTGTAAAGCCAGACGGGATGCGTCTCTCCCAGCTCTGCCCTAGGGATGATCTGGGGCAGGTCTCTGGCCTGTGCTGAGCCGGGGTCAGACGAGAGGATCACAACGGTCCCTGTGGCCCGGTGGCAGTGTCTGCACTGCCGAGTGAACCCGGGTTAGCCACGCCCTGGGGTGAGCGTCCGCACTGCGACGCCTCCCGGGGGTTAGATCCACCCGGACACCGCCAGGCCGGTGCTGCACTAACCCCGGGGCAGCGCTAGGCCTTTGGGGGCATGTCCCAGGGCTCCTAGCACTGCCCTGAGCTGGGCCGTTCTCTGCTGTGAGTCTCTGTGACGGGGTCTCTGCTGAGAGCCGGGTAGAGCCGGAGCCGGCTGCAGGGAATGTGGGGTTTAAAACATCACCAAGGGCTGTATAAACCGGCAAGTGATTTCAGTGCAGCAGAAGGGAGTGGGCAGTAGGGCAGGAAATCACGGCCCCAAAGGAATTATGGGAAGGTACTGGAGGACTATCGGCAACTGTATGAAATAACCTAGTTTACAGCTGCGTCCCCACTGCAAAGTTAAAGTGGAACCCGGGTCTAAGCTACACCTTGAACTGTACAGCCGGCCTGAGCTCACAGCTCGTATCCACTAGGGTTAAAGGGTTTTGTGGGTGGATAGTAGGGGGAGGTGTGGGGGTTAGAGCTAAACCCCGGGTCACAGTCCACATTAACTGCAGTGAAGCCAAACCCTGAGTGGGGGGAAGTTTTAATAAACCCATTTGTGACTGTGCTGGGAAAATTTCCTGAGTGTGGTCAGAGAGAGAGAGAGAGATGGGGTGTATGGGGATAGATAGATAGATAGATAGATAGATGGATAGATAGATAGATAGAGGGGGTGGATGGGGATAGATAGATAGATAGATGGGGTGGATGGGGATAGATAGAGAGATAGATAGATCACGTTAAAGCTGATGCTGTGCTATGCATCCTTCTTACAGGGTAAATGAAAGGAAACATTAAATCTCTTTATTTCAAAGAAAGGATGAACAAAACCAGGTCTGTAACTCAGGTTTTCAATTTCAAAAGGGCAAACGTTGAGAAGGGAACTAGCGAAATCCGGTGGCGTGAGGACCTCAGGGAGTTGAACGTGGAGAGGGTTTGGAATCTCTTTAAGTCAAACGGGCAGAAACTATCTTGAATTTGCATCCCAAGCAAGGTGAAAAATTTTGTAAGGCGGGGCAGGTGACTAAAAGCTTCAGACAGGACATTGGGAGCAAGTGGACAGTGTAAAAGGATCTCAGCGCCAATCTCCTTTCTTTTAACACGATTCAGAACGGGCATTTCCACCCAAAGCAGCTTCGCTTGTTGCAGCGCAGCCGTCCATTGTGAGGATGAAAACTTCGTGAATAAAAATCAGTAACTAAAGCCCAAGGGGTGAGATCCTGACCCCACTGAAGTCAATGGGAGATTTACAACTGGCTCCATGGGGCCAGGATTTCAAACCGCCGAGTCTTCCAGTCGCAACACTTAACGTTGCCTGAATAAATCAAGCGTCGAGCCCAGACTGAGTGTTCTGTGCCGGGTGAATGTGCTTTGTCGATGGATTGTGTTGGGGTTGGCCTTAGCAATGAGGTGAGGATGGTGACAGACTGTGAGGTACAATGTGCCTGGGTTGACGGCAATGTCACCTACGCAATGTATTTTCTTCTGCCATCGTAAAGCAGCCGCCTTTAGCCGTGTCTACTGAGCAGGTCGGTGCTGGAGACTGGCAGGATTCTGCGGAGCCGGAGCACTTTTGGCATGTCACGGTTTGTGCTGGAGAAAGAAGAACAAGTATTTCCTTTTTACTGTGGTGTAACAGTGTCACCTCTGGCACATCCTTCAGCCCCAGTCTTCCCCCTCTGCTCCAAACAAGCTGAGGGGTTAGCAGAGGGGTCTGACAGAAAGGTTTGGGGTGCAGAAGCCAGCTGTCTTGCCCATAGCCACGTGGGGATTGCTCCCCATTGGGAAGGCTCTCTGATGGACTGGCCCCCAGGTTTACAGCCGGTTATGTGGCTCTCAGCTTAAGTTAAAGCCAACTTTGCCCACATCCCTCTGGATCAGCCCAGTTGTTTGCAATCTGTGGGGGATGTGAAGGATGGAAATTGCCAGGCAAAAAACTGTTGTTCCCCAAATTACCATTTATACAGTCATGTTAACCACAGCACATGGACACGCACAGACCTCTTGGGGACCTGTAAGTGGAGAATCTCTGCACTTCAGTCCTTATGTACAGCGCCCTGCACACAAGCTGTGTAAGTGCAGCAGCTTCACAACTTTTCTTTTAGAGAGGTGTAGATTTTCAGGCTTTGATGCTGATCTAATCTGGGCTCCTGCATAGCCCAAGCCAGAGAACCTTGCCCAGCACTTCCTCCATGCAGCCCATATCTGATGGTTGAGCTAGAGCCAATCCTTCAGAAGGACGTCCAATCTCCGTGTAAAGACTCCAAGTGATGGAGAATCCACCCCCCACCCCTCTTTGAGAAGCTGCTGCCAGGGTTAATGCCACCTTTGACTGGTCTCAATTCAACTCCCAGCCATTGGATCTCATTCTGCCTTTGTTTGCTCGGTTGGAGAGCCCTCTGCTACCGGAAATGGTAGGCCTGATTCCAGGTTACACTCAGTCCCCAAGCAGTGTCATTTATTTCTATATTGAGTCCCCTTTATGCTGCCAAAGCAGTGCAGAGGGGCCTGCATGGGAATGAGAATTCAGGGCAGTGTCCAGTAACGGTGTCCCTCAGGCCTGGTCCACACTCAACAGTTAGGTTGTTATAGCTGCAGCGCTTGGGGAATTCACACTTTGAGCACTGCAGTGAGGCCAGTGTAACCCCTGGAGGAGATGCAGGTTGATGGGTGAATGCTTCCCTCAACTCGGCTACCGTCACTCGGGGAGGGGAGTTCCTAGAGGGATGGAAACCCCCGTCCATTGGGACAGGCGGCGTTTTCAATACGGGGCTCTGCCGGCCCAGCTACAGCGCTGTGGGTAAGTCACTACAGTATCCGTAGTGTAGACAGGGCCCTGTACCCCACACAGAGCTAATCCCCCTCCCTGCACATGCTGGATGTTCCCCTGACTGGGGATCCGTGGGGTATAAAGGGTCCAAGTCCAGGCGGGTTTCAATGGCCACAGCAGCGGATGACTCACCTTGTGCACTCGTTGTAGCTAGGAGAGCAGGGAGAAGGCAGAGGATGAAGGAAACCATCCTGGTGCTGGGAGGCGCACGGGGCTGGGCTCGGAGCTGAACGGAGCTTCTCACGGCTGACACAGCGACCTCTGTCGGGGGGAGGAGGAGAGAGACAAGACCGAAATGAGAAGGGAAAGGGAATTCCAGCCAAGAATCAGGGAGTAAAGCACCAGGGAACAGAGCTGCACAAATAATCGATTTTTTGGTTCACTGGCAGTTGTCAAAGATCAGGGGAGGTGATCTTTTTTGGTTGGCCCAAAATACTCATCTAACTAAAAAGCTGAACAAAAAATGGTTTTGCTTCTTTTTCAAGTATCTCAAAATATTTTTAAATTAGTTTTAAAATAAAAATTGCCATCAATTTTGAAATTAAAAGACACTTTGAGTTGAAAAAAATCAAAACATTTAATTCTGGAAATGTCCAGACACGTTTCCTTTTTTTAGGATTTGTTTTTCTAGAACTTTTTCCGGCTGAAGCAATGCAGCGAAATTGACACAAATTTGTAAAATGTTTCAGTCGCCCCAAACCTGCATTTTTCAGTGGAGAAAAGTTTTGGTTAGAGAATTTCTCCCAGCTCCCCCATGCCCCAGACATGCCCAGCAGTAGCAGAGTGGGGGCTCCGGGACATCCGTAGACAGGCGCTCCGTAGGGCAATCCTTGTAATAGTCATTGTTCCAAACGGAATCATGGAAAATTGAGCCAGTGACAGTCACAGGGACATGACCTGCCTCTGCATCACGTCTTGTTACACCAAATAACTTCAGTGTAGAAGGAAACAATTAAACAGCAAGTCAGTGTATAGCCTGTGTACGTATTGACAGATGGCCATAAGAACATAAAAACGGCCGTACTGGGTCAGACCAAAGGTCCATCTAGCCCAGTATCCTGTCTGCCAACAGTGGCCAATGCCAGGTGCCCCAGAGGGACTGAACCTTACAGGTAATGATCAAGTGATCTCTCTCCTGCCATCCATCTCCACCCTCTGACAAACAGAGGCTAGGGACACCATTCCTTACCCATCCTGGCTAATAGCCATTAATGGACTTAGCCACCATGAATATATCCAGTTCTCTTTTAAACGCTGTTATAGTCCTAGCCTTCACAACCTCCTCAGGCAAGGAGTTCCACAGGTTGACTGTGTGCTGCGTGAAGAAGAACTTCCTTTGATTTGTTTTAAACCTGCTGCCTATTAATTTCATTTGGTGACCCCTAGTTCTTGTATTATGGGAATAAGTAAATAACTTTTCCTTATCTACTTTCTCCACATCACTCATGATTTTATATACCTCTATCATATCCCCCCTTAGTCTCCTCTTTTCCAAGCTGAAAAGTCCTAGCCTCTTTAATCTCTCCTCATATGGGACCCGTTCCAAACCCCTAATCATTTTAGTTGCCCTTCTCTGAACCTTTTCTAGTGCCAGTATATCTTTTTTGAGATGAGGAGACCACATCTGTACGCAGTATTCGAGATGAGGGCGTACCATCGATTTATATAAGGGCAGTAATATATTCTCTGTCTTATTCTCTATCCCCTTTTTAATGACTCCTAACATCCTGTTTGCTTTTTTGACCGCCTCTGCACACTGCTTGGACATTTTCAGAGAACTATCCACGATGACTCCAAGATCTTTTTCCTGATTTGTTGTAGCTAAATTAGCCCCCATCATATTGTATGTATAGTTGGGATTATTTTTTCCAATGTGCATTACTTTACATTTATCCACATTAAATTTCATTTGCCATTTTCTTGCCCAATCACTTAGTTTTGTGAGATCTTTTTGAAGTTCTTCACAGTCTGCTTTGGTCTTAACTATCTTGAGCAGTTTAGTATCATCTGCAAACTTTGCCACCCCACTTTTTACCCCTTTCTCCAGATCATTTATGAATAAGTTGAATAGGATCGGTCCTAGGACAGACCCTTGGGGAACAGCACTAGTTACCCCCTCCATTCTGAGAATTTACCATTAATTCCTACCCTTTGTTCCCTGTCTTTTAACCAGTTCTCAATCCATGAAAGGACCTTCCCTTTTATCCCATGACAGCTTAATTTACTTAAGAGCCTTTGGTGAGGGACCTTGTCAAAGGCTTTCTGGAAATCTAAGTACACTATGTCCACTGGATCCCCCTTGTTCACATGTTTGTTGACCCCTTCAAAGAATTCTAATAGATTAGTAAGACATGATTTCCCTTTACAGAAACCATGTTGACTTTTGCCCAGCACTTTATGTTCTTCTATGTGTCTGACAATTTTATTCTTTACTATTGTTTCAACTAATTTGCTCAGTACCGACGTTAGACTTACTGGTCTGTAATTGCCGGGATCACCTCTAGAGCCCTTTTTAAATATTGGCGTTACATTAGCTAACTTCCAGTCATTAGGTACAGAAGCCGATTTAAAGAACAGGTTACAAACCATAGTTAATAGTTCTGCAACTTCACATTTGAGTTCTTTCAGAACGCTTGGGTGAATGCCATCTGGTCCCGGTCACTTGTTACTGTTAAGTTTATCAATTAATTCCAAAACCTCCTCTAGTGACACTTCAATCTGTGACAGTTCCTCAGATTTGTCACCTACAAAAGCCGGCTCAGGTTTTGGCCCCACTGGTTGTTTAGCAGGCTTCCTGCTTCTAATGTACTTAAAAAACATTTTGTTATTACCTTTTGAGTTTTTGGCTAGCTGTTCTTCAAAAGGCCCCAGCAAGCGAATGGGGCCATTGATTTCAACAGTTACACTGTTATACGCCGGCTGGGGTCTGGTCCCACTGACTCCAATGGAGCTATGGCCAATTAACCCCAGCTGGGATCTAGCCCCATTGACTCCAATGGAGCTACGACCGATTAACACCAGCTGGGGATCGGGCCCAGTTTTCACTCCCTCATCCGTAATTGATCCAAGTCTGCACTGTCCCTTCTGACATGGGGCGACCGGCGCTGCCTGTGGGGCACCAGGGTCAGAGCATCCTGCTGATCTGCAGAGGGGCACTACAGTGTTTTCTACATTATCTCCACCCCCTTGGGCAGCCCAACGGCTTCTTCGCTTCTCTCTTCTGCAGCTGCTCAGTGAGCTGAGGTGTCCATTGATCTTCCTACGGGGACGCTCAGGTCCCTTTCCTGGATCAGCCCAGTTCAGTTAGAACTTGTCAGGTCTAGGAGGCTTCAAACCCCCCCACCCCTCCCACCCCATATGGTTACTTTGCATTGATCAAAACAACTTCATCTGCCATCGTGTTGCCCATCGACCCAGCTCCGTTAGATCTCGCTGAAGTTCCCGACTAACCTCAGTAAGTTGCCTCCTCTGCAGATTTCACCACCTCCTCGCTCACCCTCCTTGCAGATCATTTGAGTAACTTGAACACTGGGTCTAGGATAGAGCTTGGAGGCCTCCACTTTTAAGCTTTTGCCATCACACAAAATTCCCATGAATTCCAGCTCTGTTATCTAGAGACACAAGGTGGGGGAAGAGACGAGCTTCCGAGCGACACAGAGCTCTTCTGCGGGTCAGCGGAGCTCGAGAGCTTGTGTCTCTCCCCAGCAGAAGCTGGTCCAATAAAAGCTATTCCCTCACCCACCTTGTCTCTCTGATATCCTGGGACCCACACGGCTACAACAACGCTGCAAACTCCTGTTCTCTGGCTATTGTCCAGGTTCTGCTCCATGACAGTCCATTGCCTCCCGCCCCAGGACTGCTTCGATTCCTTACTGCCCTACGGCGAGGGAGCTTGCTGAAGGCTTTTTGAAAGTCCAAATCAAGTATTTCGACTGGTTCCTCTCTGCTCCCTAAACCTGGGATGTTCAAAGCAGCCGGAGGGAGTCTGAGGCCTGACTCCCATGGAGTTTCAGCAGACGCTGGCCCCCTCGCTGCTGGTTTTGCCTTTGAAAATCTCCCTATTTGGTTCACACACCATTCCATGAGTGGGGCTTCTTTTCCTTTGCACAAACTGAGCCGCATTATCCCTGGAGCTTGCATTTGAAATATATCTCCAGCCTTTACGCGCTTTCAGCAGATCATCAGTGATTACAAGCAATAATTTCACACAGCATTAAAAACTCTTACCTTCAGCCGCACAACAGTTCCGTTCACCTCCAAGTTCTCTGTAGTATCGAAGAGATGCACTAACCTGTCTAGCACAGCCCCTTCCTCTCTATATAGTCCAAGGACACAATCTGATTAATCTAGAAACTGGGAGTAACAGTGAATGATTTACTGAAACATAATAAATTGCACGACCCTCATACCTGGGCACTCCCTCTTTCAGTACAGTTCAGATCGACCCTTTCTCAATCCATCAGCTATTGTTTTATTGAACTTGTCCCATACTGTTTGTGCAACAGAGATAAGAGGTGATACTCAGCTTAGTCATAAGGGTAGAGGTGCAACGTTTGCATATCAGAGGCGTTTATCCAGATCCTGAGGTGCTGTAAATGATAGAGGAACCGGTAAATTCACAGCAGCTGGGGATCTGGCTCCATTGATTCCATTGGAGCAAGGGCCAATTGACACCAAATGGGGGTCGGGTGAGACTGTCAGAACGAAACTAAGGTTGGCCATGGAGTTGGCTCCATTACGACAGCTCCCCTCCCATTCCCAGAACAGGTTGCTAAATTCCTTCTCGTTAAATTGTGTAAATATTCATTGGGGACAGATTTTCTTATCTGCCCCATACCAGGGGGTTGCGTCAAACTGGGTCTCAGGAGCACAACGTCGCACCCGACTGGGGGAATTTAGTTATAGAATAACTGAGCGGAGAAGAGCGTTTCGACCTTGGTTGCATTCCAGGCCGGCTTTGCTCCTGGAAGTCGTAGAGCTGGGTAGGGGGCTTCCAGCCGGAATCCAGGTCTTAGGATCGCCAGGAGTCTAAAGAGAGAGAGTGGTTGGAGATCGACTGCTGAACAGTGTGATGGAAAAGCTGGGGATTAGTTATAAACACATATGAACTCCCGGCTCAGATTCAGCCAGGCGGCCGTGGACTGGTAGTGGCACCTCGCTGAATCTGCAGCCTTGTTCTCTAGAATCTCGTCTGTCATTGAATGCACAAGAGTAAGGCTGGGTCAACACCAGAAACTTTTGCTGGCACAGCTCTGCGGGTT